CCCCCTGTATGACAACTTTCAGCATCGGCAATGTAGTTACTATAGCCATTAATATTCAGTTCGCTATCGTCAAAATCCTCCGTAATATGGGTTTCATTAACACATAATATAAGAGGATTCTTATCCAGTACCAGCTGTTTCAATTCGTCAACTTTTCGTCTTAGGCCCTGTACATTTATGGACAAACAAATTTCTTGAACATACGTTGATTGCTATTCATATTTTGTTTTAAGCCTAGTATTTTCCACTTGCCGAAGATATGAAGTACAATTTCGATCAAAAACAGTATGATTATATTCTATTTTTTTTATCTTTAAGACATTGCTAATATATTCACAGTTGCTACAACGTTTATTACTGCTTGTACACTGATTGCCGGCGCATGGTGGACATGTAAATTGCTCTTGTTTGCAGAGATTTGCCATATGCCCGTATTTCCAGCATTTAAAACATCTTAAAACGCTAACAAATTCATACAATAGAAAACTATCCCATCCAAAGCGTAATTTCTTTTGAGCAATAAAGTAATTAAATGCCTCATTTGATACCTCCAATAGCACATTAAAATGTTCCTTCCTACGAGGCTTATATTTCCTAACAAACGTTATTTCGCTTGTACCACACATGTCTTTCAATTTGTTTGTAAATATATCAATCTCCCTCAGGTATTTATCATAAACACCAACAATAACAATTGGGGTGCTATTGCTTATGGTAGCAGATCACCACTACTTTTCATCAGACGCAATATGACAGCCCGACACTGTATTCAGGAAGTAGTGGAGCCTCATCTTATTCCATACCTAAACACCATCCAATTTTTCCGATTTTTCAGCAAGACAATGCCAGACCGCATGTTGCCAGAGCATCGTCAGCCTTCATGGATCAACATCGCATCAACCGTTTACCTGGGCCGCCACCATCGCCTGACCTACCTCAAATTAAACATGTCTGAGACATGATAGGTCGGAGGTTCTTACTCACGAAGTTGCAGTAGCCTGTAATGAGATACCTCAACAGGATATCGACCACTTTATCAGAACGAGGCCCAGGCGTGTCAATGAGTGTATAAGAATTCGTTGATCCTCAACACATTATTGAACCAGCTTTTGTAGTCAGTTGACGGATCAAGCTGAAAATTTAGTCATTTTACTAATAAGGGATACTGAACATATAAGTTATGGAATTCTGAAAACATTAACATCATCCAAGTCCCAACGAGTATAATACCGTTCTATACTCGTGAGACAGGATGTGAAGCTTGCATTTTCACCCGACACATTTCTGGAAAATTGTTATCTTGAGATATAAAACCGGTCGTCGACCATTCTCTGTACTCATTTCGTTACTTAATCCCCTGTAACCAACTGTTGCTGATGCATTAATAAAAGTTCATCTACAAAAGTACTGACAAATTTATTTGGCGCTGCGAACAGGATACCCAGCCTTCATCGAGTAGTGTGACTTAGTCAGAAATCACGAAGATTCACTGAGAAGCCAGCTGAACTTGAAGGTAAAAGTTTTTAAACTTTTGCAAATGGGTATCGCTACTGAAACCTGTGAGCGAGCTCCGAGGCCGGTAAGACCTCTCAAGTTCCTGTTTCAACTTCATCCTAGTGGCCGGTAAGACCACGCAAGTTCCAGTACCTTTGTGGAGACAACTTTTGCATCCAGAACAGCCGGAAAACAGAACGAATGGGTCCCTTGACGACATCGATGCTGATCACGTCATTGTAAGTAGTTTAAGAAACTTATTAAGAATAAGAAGATTTTTATTGAAGAAATTAAAGAAGAAAGAAGATTTTGCAATTAATTGATATTGTACAAGGAAGAGATAAAATTTGGAAAACAAGACGAATTATTTGTAAAAATATTTGATTTTGCTACATCTTTGATTGCTAGTTTTAAGATTGTATTTTTATGCCTCTTGTTAGACGATTTACTAGAAAGAGTTCATACTCCCCTTACACTTATCCACATTTAAGTTCTAGTTCTAGTGATTCTTCTCTTGAACCAGATATTTCAAATTCTGAAATCACAATGGCACAACCAAATGGTAATGAACGTTACAGAATGCTTGAACTACGATTCAGGAGTCTCAAAGACTCTCTGCCAAAATTCTCTCCTAACCAAAGTAATTTGTCTACCTTTATACGAGAAAGTGAGTTGTTCATTTCAAAATTTCAAAACACAGAATTCGAAGAGCCTGCTGTCGAATTGGTCATGTTAAATATTCGAGATCAAGCTCTTGAAAAGGTCAGAAATCACGGTGCCACTTCATGGGTCGAAGCTCGTGATGTTCTTGTTAGAAATTATATAAATACTTGTGAAACATGTCTCAAAGCAAAATACGAACGACATCCTTTAGTTCAACCTATTGAAGGTCCCTTCTTTTCCACTGCCCCATTCCAATTAATGTTTATTGACGTCTTCACTATTGAGAAGAACAAGTATCTCACGTTCTTTGATCATTTTTCAAAATACGCCCAAGCTTACCATTTAGTCTCCTCCAATCAAATTACTATCCTTAGCAAATTGAAACACTTCTTTGCACATTATGCCTTTCCTAAAGCGATTCATGCCGATCCTGGTGAATTAAATTCAAATCTCATTAAAGATTATTGCAAAGAACACGGTATTCTCCTTCACATTGGTTCTACTGCCAATCCTACGTCTATTTCCCCAACTGAACGCTTCCATTCAACTCTAGGTGAAAAATTCCGAACATTGAGAATTGAACGTCCATCAGACTTAACCACTGATATCCTCTTAGATGCATTACTCATCTACAATCAATCAATTCACTCCCAAACCAAGAGAACCCCTTTTGACTTACTTTATGGCCATAATGATCCCATTGCCACTCATGAAGAATTTCAGAAGTTCCAAAAACGAAAACATGTTCGATTAGCCCAAGAAATGTATGACAAAAGTAAAGCTATTAATGAAAAGCGAAATTCGCGTATTAAACCTTCCAAAATCCCTATTTTCAAAGGTCCAGTCTTTATGCAACCACAAGATCATACTAGACGTCCCAAAAACCTTCCCAAATATAATAAAGTTATGTCCTATCTTCAAAATGGTGAAAAAATCCAAGTTGAAAACAGAACTCATATGATCAAGAAACTCAAACCGCCTCGTATTGTTTCAGATGCATTACCACAATCACTACCGTCAACATCCACTCCGAAAGTTACTTGCAACCAATCCAGCAAATCCGTTTAGGAAATGCTAAGTTAATTGATCATTATCATAAGGTCTACTTTACTATTAATCTCACTGACATTCGCCATACCATGGAACTCTTTCAAAATCTAATTCAAATTCATCAAAAGATTCCCACAACTTTAGACAATCAAATTAGAAATCTGTATAATGATACCATGTCCAAATTTGAAACTCTCACTCAACACAGAGTAAGAAGAGGTTTAATTAATGGATTAGGATCTGTTATTAGATTCATATCTGGAAATTTAGATCAAAATGATTTAGAACAAATTACTAAGAATCAAGAAGCTCTCAGAAATAATCAAGATGACTTATTGGTTAATCAGCAAAAGACTATTTCATTTTGTCAGTCTCTACAGAAAACTTTTGAAGAAAATACTAAACGTATTCAGTCTGTTATTTTATACAATGCTCAGACTATTGAAAAGCAAACTTGACTTTCACATCAGATGATACATCAAGTTTCCATTATTACTAACATGCAACAATTTAACAATTATCTAAATTCTTTATTACTTGCCATTCAGTTGAACCAACAATCTGGTCTCAATACTTTGCAATTAAGGCATCATCAAGTAAGTTTACTTATTGAACATCTACAAAACATTTTTAAAAAGGAACAATTGCTGTCATTTGATTCCATTCATTTATTCGAAATCTATGACCTCTCTCAAATGTCTATTATCTGTTTAGAAGATGAATTTATATGTGTAATCAAGTTTCCCATTTTAGATATTAAGGAATTTACATTGTATAAGTTATTTGCAATTTCTATTAATCATGAACTTATTATGTTACCAAGTGAGCATTTATTGACTTATGAAAAGAATTATTACTGTTCTGACATTATTAAGCTAAGTAATCAACTGTACGTTTGTAAAAGTACTTTCCAGTCTCCCTGTCAACCACAGAGGTTCAACATGTGTGAGTCTGAAAGCATAACAAACTACACGAGAATATTAGAATTAAATAAAAATAATTATGTAATTGATACTAATCAATTAACAAAGATAAGAGACTGTAAAGGTACTTCTTTGATCCATTATGCAACACATATTATTTTAGAATGTAATACTTTAGTCGATCATCAAATTTTAGAATTTGATACTACATTTCAAATTAAGCTAGACCTAGCTTATGCAGCAACAGGTACACAATATCATTTTCAGAACACAAATGTTTCATTGAACTCTTATTTGCATCAAAACCTTACTTCTTTGCAAGTCAAATTTCAAAATTTACATTATAGATCTACCGTAGGGTATCCTATTATTTTGGTTTGTATTCTCATATTTTTAATCATCTTTATTATTGTATTTGTAAAATATCGTTATGTGAAGGACACCAAAGTTCCACCCACGCCTCCAATTTCTCAACCAGCTGAGTAAATACCGTTAACTTAATTATTCTGATTCGAGACGAATCTTTTTCACCGTGGGGAGGAGTTATGGAATTCTGAAAACATTAACATCATCCAAGTCCCAACGAGTATAATACCGTTCTATACTCGTGAGACAGGATGTGAAGCTTGCATTTTCACCCGACACATTTCTGGAAAATTGTTATCTTGAGATATAAAACCGGTCGTCGACCATTCTCTGTACTCATTTCGTTACTTAATCCCCTGTAACCAACTGTTGCTGATGCATTAATAAAAGTTCATCTACAAAAGTACTGACAAATTTATTTTATATGTCAAAAATTATTAAAATCGAATAAACCTACGTAGATGTCACTCAGTATAATAATCCATGATGTACAAAACAGCATACCTGTGGCATATGCGCTCGACCAGTCAGATCCGTGAACTGCTTCACTACGTCTTCGGGTTTCGGCCCTAACATCACGAAAAGATCAAAACTACCACTGTCCACCATGAAACGAGCAGAAGCAGATCCGTGACTGTAACTAATATCCACCCATTGTTCAGCAGCGTTATGAAGAAATATACCAGCTGTCGATTTTTTTCTGAAATATTGAAATATTTCCTTATTTAAATTTTGTAGTTTCTCAAGGTTTCTCGTCATCGGTTGTTAGAGGCAAAAGAAACTCCGTACCAGGGAGGTCAATTTTTAGGCACTAGCGAATGCGAAAATTCAGTTGTTCTTATCTATAAATCAAATCAAAAGATACTTGATTAAGTGAAGCTTTTATTTTTGAAGTTTAATATTCCTCTCATTCCACTTGATTATATTGAATTGCTGTTTAAAAAATAAGAAAGATTATCTAGCTTGTAAAAAAACATTTCATCTCCACAAAAAGCTCGAGAAAAAAATGTCGTTTTTATTAATATTTTTTATTTTATATTCAAAGACTGATAAAAGTAAGAAAGAATATTTTTTGTTTGTCTGAAGTTGTTATACCATAATTGCAACTGAATTCGTTTTACATAAAATGTCACTGTCAATTTGTCCTCCGTTATAGCGTTTATGTGGAATTTATTTTGTTTACGTGTAAAATTCCAAATTCAGATTGTGGGCTTTTTACCTTTGCTTACAATTAGATATGTGTATCTGACAATCTATGGCAGTAAACTGCAAACATGTCTAGTCTTGTGTGTAACTCCATTATAAATTAACAAATGTCATTTTAGGCTATGTTCTGATAAAGGGTAGCTCAGCTCCTGATCGGGGCCGTGGCAAACGTTCTTTCTGGAAGTTGTTCTCTTTAAAATGATTATACACGCGTTGAGGAATCCTCAGTACTGATTACCAGGCTGCGGTACAAGTCCGTCAACGGGTTACTCCAGGTCTATTTAACATCATCAACAAGTAAAAAGAAGGTAGTAGACAAGGACTAGTTGACCGAAGCGGTTCCACCAACTAGATTTTTCCAGGAATGTCCGCATCTTTCTGCTCCTAAGCTATGCTTTCCTTTCCCTTCAAACACAGACACTAATTAATGATGAAGGATCTCTCGAGTACTTAGAATTCCGGACGTAAGCTCACTTCATTTTCGGTATGTCCGGGTGGAGGATGGACTCGCGGGAACAACATCGATAAATCTTTTTCGCGAACATCTGAGAGATTAACAGCAACATTGATGCTGTTCACCACTGCCTGCAGTCAAATCGTTCCGCCATACTTTTCATGACGGAGACCAAAATCTCCGATGCTGCACTTATTCATCTATATATCTATATCTTCCCAAATTATTTGCTGCCTTTATCGTTCTGTCTCGGACCATAACTGCGATGACCTACTTGAATACCTCGCTGTCAAGATCGACTTCCTAAACATCAAATACACTGCTTCCGAGGTAGTTCTCCTCGGTGATTCCGATGCCCATAATGAGCTCTGGTTGGGCTCAAACAAGACCAATGCAACAGGTCGTGCTCTTGAAGTATTCAGAATACCCAATGACTGACCCAGCTGGTGATGAGTCTTACTCTTTTCTCCGCATTTCGTCACTGCTGTATTGTCTCCCGGTCAGCACCGGCTGTTACAACAGATACTCTTCCAGATCGCAAAATTTGGCATCGCCGACTTGAAAGGGCTCACAGGCTTTTGTTCCACATTTCCTTCGAGAGATGGTTGTTTCTCTGACCCGGATGCGTTGGCTGTCTGTTCATCAGTAACAGAAATTATTCACGTTGAGATGGAGGGATGCATCTCTGCATCTCTCACAGAGTGAAAGCGTCTAAAGCAGGACCAATATCTAGTTCAACAAATCGTACGACACTGCTTGTCAGCAGAAGATCAAGGCGTACAGGACCTTCTTACAAAAACCCACTGTAGAGAACAGACAATCCGACGTCAAGTCCAGAAACAATAAACCAGCACGACATAAAAATTAGGCAAAGGGTAATGTCGCGGCACAACGGCAGTCGATCTCTCTGGACGCTGGTCCAGCAGACTGAAATTAAGTTTTTTTTAAACTCCAACTACCACGGAGGTCTAAGGCCTAAACAAGGGGTACTGTGGGTATATTGGAGGATACAGGGGAAAGGGGGGATGCCACAAGGACTCTAGCGGTATTTTGAAATTGTTTCTGTGTTTTGTATTCTGACTGTGTGGCACTATAAATCTCTTAAAGTCATTTCTATGTTGTTTGATATATATATCAAACAGCGCAGTATAAATATAGAAGGAACGTTGGGTAACTGCTCCTTTACAAAAGTTAGTTTGCAGCTGTCTTTGAGGTTTAGACCGTAAATTAACGTAGTGATCCTTTATTGAGCGAAAAAACCCTGTTGTACTACTCCTGCCAGTCCAGTTGAGGAAATTCAAAGCGGCTAAAAACCATCGCAAATTATACTAAGTGACATATAAATCCGAACAACCAGTTTAAATGGTTTTATTTTAATAAAATTTTGTATAAGTACTTAATGAAGCATAATAAGTAAATGATAAAAATTTCAAAATGATTGCACTGCTTTAAAGCCCTTTGACCTTTAATAATGTGTGGATGCACCCTGATGTGCTACGCATTCGCAAACGCGCCTAGGCATGCTTCTGATCAGGTGGTCAATGTCCTCCTGTGGTATCTCATTCACCACCAACTCCTCTCGAAGTGCTTCTAGAGTCTGAGGAGGACGTTGCAAATTGAGCAATCTCCTACCCATCATACCCCACACGTGCTCAATTGGGGATAAGTCGGGAGATCTTGGTGGCCATGGTAACAATGTGACATCATTATATTGAAAGAAGTCTATTGTGACTCTTGCAACATGTAGTCGGGCATTATCTTGTTGGAAAGTTGGATCTGCCAGGGTGTCAAGATAGGGTAAAAGATGGGGTTCTAGAACTTCGTGGATATAACGCTGCGCGTTCATGTTACCTCTGATGAAGATTAAAGGTGACGTGGAACCATAAGCTATAGCACCCCAAACCATAACTCCAACAGTGTGATGAACATGTCTTTCAACAAAAAACTGTGGATTCCTCCTTTCACCACGTCGCCTTCTAACCCTGGCACGACCATCGTGCATGCCTAAACAAAATTGAGACTCGTCACTAAAGACAATACTGTTCCATTCCTGATCCCAGAGTGACTGTTGTCTGCACCACTCAAGGCGATTACGTCGGTGTTTTCGAGTTAAAGGGAGGACCCAGTGTGGCCGGTATGAAAACAAGCCAAAACTTCTCATTCGTCAGTAAACACTTCGCATGCCAAGAGGTCTTCCGTGTTCTGCAAACCATTCATTTGCAATGGACCTGGTAGTGGAGAAACGGTCCCGTAATGCCAATAATCTTAGGCGGCGATCTTCACGGTCTGTTGTTCTACGGCGGCGTCCAGTGCCCCTTGCTCTTTGCGTACGGTCTTCTCGAAGCCATGCCTGACAACACCTAACCACAGTGTCTACACTTCTTTGCACTCTAACTGCAATTGCCCGAAAAGAAAGTCCAGCTTCCCGAAGTCCCACTATACGGCCCCTATCAAACTCACTAAGTTGACGAAATCGTACAGGTCTCCGTACTCTAGGCATCGTATCCGATCGTAAAGGATGTCAAGAACCAAAATCTGCCGACGTTGATTCTTTACTGCGGCTGAAATATTCATTTTTAGAGCGTTAGTGAATTAAAAAAAAGCAGTATAAAAACCGGAATGTCCAACTGATAAGGCTGAAAATTTTTTCACTTGTTATTTTCAGTAAGATAAATACATTCACCAACTTTTATTAAAATAAAACCATTTAAACTGGGTGTTCGGATTTATATGTCACTTAGTATATATTGTTTTGCAGCAAGTTCTGTCGACACTGTTCTTCAACTGGACCAATGCATAGAAAGCTGCCGTCTACACTATGTGGGTAGTAACTTTTAGGCATAAGACCGTAAGACGGTTGCTCTTGTCGCTCGACATCAGCAAAGCTGCTGGTCCAGACTTGATTCTTGCCGTTGTGTTGAAGAGATGTGCAGCGGTACCTGCTTCAGCTCTTTCGCGTCTCTTCCAGGAATCTCGAAATTTGGATATTTCTAACCCATTCCAAAAAAAGGTCCGACCCTTACTGCGCCTACAGCTCTGCTTTCTGTCATAAGTGAAGTGATGGAGAGGTGCATAAATCGGGAGCTTCTGGAGTACCTCGCACGTCACAACTTGATTAGTGACAGGCAGTACCTTGGGCCAAGCAACTGTGGACTAACCTCATTCAGTCTTAAGGTGAGGCTCATGACGTTGTCTTTAATATCACGAAAGCGTTAGATCAACTTGTATGTCTGAACCGAATGGCGACAAATTCAACAGAATTTACGCGCAAAACCCAATTGTGAGATTTTTCTTCAATTTCTTTTTCACATCGAACGTAAAGGAAACGAAGAGAAGAGAAAATCTTCGCTTGGTGTCGATTCTTTTACACATAATCAAATGAGAGCGCGCACACTGGAGAGGAATTCCTTTCCATAACATTAGGTATAAATCTGTGACACTGCCCATAGAATAGTCGTAGTCCATTAATAGTGAATCTAATTCGATTCAGACGTCCGGGTGTTGCATGAATTTTTACATCTAGTGAAGGAATTGTTCAGGAATAAATGACGTCAGCAGCTATAACTACTCGTAGTATACGAATTTGACACTCGTATTGGATAACAACACGGTTATCGACGTCTAATAATCGATACTTTCATTTATTTCGATTATATAAAAATCAATTTCGATATTTTCAAAATCGGAATATTCATATGATCAATATCATTGATGTTCAATTCTTTTAATAGTGATTATGGGATTATTAATTTATAATATAAATTAAACGTAAAGAGGGTACAGCAATGAAAATTAAAGAAATTGCGGGGAGGGTAGTTCAAATGTCTATAGTTTGACCTTCAAGTAAATATTCAATTCAATTCAATTCAATTCAATGGACTTTATTGTAACACATACATAATTATGTATCCTTACAAATGGCGAAGTCTGGCCAATGGCCATTTATACTTAACCATAAATGTCAAGTCAATGCTTATTACTACCTTCAAAATAAAATAAAAAAAAAAACTGAAAAAGAAAAGGAAAAAGAAGAATAATAGTAAAAGAAGAATTAATAAATATGACATAATGCGTACGATTAGAACAAAAAACATAATACGTACGATTCAAAGCGAGGACAATAACCTAAGAGCTCAATAAGTAGTTTTTATATTTTTTGTAGAACAGTTGCTGATGAAACATTGTTCGAAAGAGTTGATCAATTTCACCGCATTATACGTAAAAGACCGTTGAAAAATGGCTGTCCTATGTTGTGGCATTGTCAGGAGATTAATGTTGCGCGTATTCAAATTGTGAATTAAATTCCTACGAACAAGCTTGTGCATAAGATAAACGGGAACAGAAGTTTTTAATATTTGTACGACAAATGAAACAAAGTTGTATTTGAAAAGGTCAGAAATTTTCAACCAATTCATTGAAGATATTGAGTGAGAAATATGATCGTACCTTCTTAAATTGTTTATGTAACGACTACATGAGTTTTGAATTTTTTGCAGTCTGTATTTTGTGATTTCATCCAGACAGGGATAATAAACTATGTTGCAGTAAGCGATTTTACTGAGTATGAGTGACTCGCATAACATTTTCTTAATTTTTCTATTTAAAACAGTTTTACTTGCATATAGAAGCCTGAGTCTAAAATAACTGGACTTACACACATAGCTAACATGCTCCTGAAATCTGAAATCTTCATCCAAGTACAAACCTAAATTTTTTGCAGTATGGGAAAATATTAGGATACTATTATTTAGTGATAAATTTAACTTTGATTTGAGGAAAGTACGTTTTTTCTTGGAGCAAAAAAGTATAGCTGTCGATTTCGATGCGTTTAGACGTAAATTATGTTTTGCAGCATATGTGCATAAGTATTGCAGATCTTGATTGATAAGGTTATTAGCTAAATGGTAGTTGTTCGGACAGAAATTATGAAAAACCTGCATATCATCAGCATATGATTGACTAGAACAATGTTGAAGGGTGTTAGAAATGTCAAAGGCGTATATAAGGAATAAAGCATCCCACAAACCGGGGCGAAATAATCGCGGCGAAGTATTCGCATCGAAATTCAGAGCGAAATTCGCAATCTGTTTCGCCTGTTTATTCATACCAAAGCGTCTTATTCGCTCCGCGAACGTGAAGGTTTCGACAGGTTGCGTACATTTTATTTTTGCCTTTTGCAATGAGCTCGTCTTCAGAAGAAGAGGAGGCACTTCTATTTCTTGCTTTAGAAGAGGAACAAAATGCACGGTAAGTTATGTTTATTTAACGCCATTTGATAGTGGGGTATGTATTAAGTTTAACGAAGTACATAAAACAAATATTTTCAATTTTGTTTAGGAAACGAAGGAAGTACATGATATTAACTTGGAACGAAATAAATTTGGGGAATACCATACCTTGATGCCACAACTTCGGCTGGATGAACAGCGCTTTTACGTATATTTTAGAATGACTCCAGAGTGTTTCGATGAAATATTGAACTTGGTGAAAGATGAAATACGAAAATCTGACACAAATTATCGTGAAGCTATTTCGCCAGAAGAACGACTTGCTATTACACTCAGGTAAAAAAATTATATGTATTAAAATTAGTAGGCTTATCGAATACGAAAACTTCAGGGATCGTGAAATAAATATTTTATTGTAATAATTGGACTACATGTTGCCACTAGGATTAAATGTTGCTAAATAATTCGAGGCAGAATTTGCCTCCTCTGTTGGGTATATTATTGGAGTAAACCCAGTGCCGCTTGGGAAGGACGACATACTACTATCATACATACTTACAGAATTCTGGGTAGACGCTGAAGACATTTCTTCAATATGTTCAAATTCTTCGAGCGCTATTAATTCGGCTATTTTTAGTTTTATTCGGGCTTGACGCTTTAAGGGAAGTGTTTTCACAGTCTGTGCATGTGCCAAGAAAAGTGAATCAATGGCCTCGTTCTCTTTTTTAGGTTTTTTACCTTCAAAATAATTATGAGCTGTTGTACAGGCGAAGATGGTGGTTCATAGCGTTTTCTGCTCGTTTTATATTTTGGTGTAGTTGCAGTCTGCGGAAAGGTGTGCCCTGGAGTAGTCACTACTGTAGTGTTTAATGAAGAAGGCGGTGCTGTCTGTGTTGCCGAGGCGTTCTGTGCATCTTCTGCATCTACATCAGCATTTTCATCTTCTCCATGGCCGCGGTCTTCCAAATTTTCGGTTTCTACATTTCCAGCCATTTCCTGATATATATTTGAGTCAAATTCGGCAGTCTCATAATGTATGACGTCAATATCTTTCATATTAGACGACGTTTTGGCAAATGCCAAAAAAGGACGGAAAAATTCCATGTAGTCAGCCCACTGCCATTTTTTTATGTTGCCCACTGCTTGGCCGGTCTTTGGTTTGGTAGATTTTATATATTTTGCAAATGTGTCTCTGATATTCTTCCACCTTTTTTTTACTTCATCACCTAAAAAAGATTTTTTTTATAGATTCCTTGCCACTGGTGACACCTTCTATACCATTGGGCATAGCTTTCGAGTTGGCTTTACAACAGTGAGTGCAATCGTAACCGAAGTCTGTGAAGCGATATGCAGACATATGGAGCATATATATTTACCAGAACAACAGAGAATATATGGAAAAAATGTGCTGAAGAATTTGAAAATAGATGGGGATTTCCCAATTGCATTGGAAGCGTGGACGGTAAACATGTAACAATCAAGAGACCTAACAACAGTTTCTCCAATTACTGGTGCTATTTACATAAATATTCAATAGTACTTATGGCCATTGTTGGCCCGGACTATAAATTTATATGTGTTGATATTGGTGGTTTCGGAAAAAATAGTGATGGGGATGTTTTCGAAACCTCAAACATGGGAAAACGATTTGAACAAAATTTAATGAGTATCCCTGCACCTAGATTTCTCCCTGGGCAAAATGAAATCTGCTCGTACGTCTTAATTGGTGATGAAGCATTTGCTTTAAAACCATACCTTATGAGACCATTTCCTTATAAGCAGACTTTAACAGACGTCAGAAAAGAGAAATACAATGTAAGACTTTGTCGAGCTAGAAGGGTCGTGGAAAATGCGTTTGGTATTTTGTCTCAAAAATGGCGAATATTTTACAGGCCATTAGAAATTAAAGTAGATACTACTATTCTAATTGTAAGTACGGCATGTGTTTTACACAATTTTTTACGAAGTAAAAGTGGTGATGACAAATATTTTCAATTCTTAGATCCCCCAGAACCCGTGCTTGGAGCTTTTACTGATATAGCAAATGATCCTCGGCGGGCAGCAAGGCCAGCATTTTCTACTCGTGACAAATTCGTAAATTATTTTAATTCTGATATGCCTATGCCCAGTATATAGAATGTTCGTTTTCACATTTGTGTAGACTGTAAATTATTTAACAAGTTAATAAAAAATATTAGGTACATACCATTTGTATTTAATTCTTTTCCTATTTCCATCCAAATCTTGTCTTTCTTTCTCACATTCCTGTATTCATCGTTCGACAAATCATACAAACAAGGATACTTTTTCACTATTTCTATCAATAATTCCGTTTTTGCCATTGCGAATTTTTGAAGAACGGCGTCAAAAACGCGGTCAAAGGCGAACTGAAATACGCCGCGATAAAAACGCTGGAACAATCGCATTCGCTTCGCACAAGTCTGAGCCTGTCCGTAAACCGCCGCGTTTTAATCTGATCGCGAATTCATCGCCGCGAAATTTTCGCAGCCAAAGCGAATATTTCGCGCCGGTTTGTGGGATGCTTAAAAGTGGACCTAATATGGATCTCTGAGGCACGCCGGAACAAATCGGCCTTTTGTCTGAAAGTTTATTTTGTATGACGACATATTGATGTCGTTCATTTAAATAGCAATCTATCCATTCCAGAACCAAGTCGCCACACCCAATGTATTTACATTTAGAAACTAACAGCTTATGATTCAGGGTGTCAAAAGCCTTGCTGAAATCCAATAAGACTAATGCAGTTGCTTCTTGCCTATCCGCCGCTGTTAGTACATCGTCACAAACCCGTGCCAAAGCGGTAGTGGTACTGTGACCCTTTCTAAAGCCTGATCTTTCCTTTCTAAATATCGATGGATTAATTCATTAAAAAATAATATACTTATCAACTGTCCGACTACAACAGTAATAATAAAGGACCTGTCGCGTCTGACTCGAGCAAATGACAAATGTTCCGACAATTATAGGACGCATTTATGGCTTCTTTGATTGTCATAGTCTTTTATATCCATCAGAAACGCTGGGGTATTTCTAGATTTCACCTGTTCCGTGTTATCGTCAGCGTTCTCCTATTGTGAAGTTGTTTTTCTTTTAGATGTAGGAAATTTCACGCTGATAAAACAGATTGTATAAATCAAAAGCATACACAATTTGATGGAAATTACATAACTTCAAAATAAAGCGTTGACACGGAAGAGTAGAAAACTATGGAAATCAAGGAGGCCATAAAGGCGTCCTAGAATTGTAGGAATGAATGACGATACGGCGCTTACTGTATTTCACCTGTTAGTTTGACTTATTTTGAACAATGGACCGTAATTAGTGAAAGGGTACACTTTAAGGAGTGATTTCATGTGGCAAATGGAGCAGAAGCTTGGCGATTCCGTCTGGTAGGCTTGAAGCGCGGGGAAGCATGAGGAAGAGTTCAGAAGACTTAATGTTCGTTAGCTCATCGGTATAAGGGTACCAAATCACCAACCGTCCGTTCATATTGGAGAGGTTTGAGAGCGTCCGGTACACCTGTACACTTACGAGTGGCCATAAATAGCTGGTACAGATCCATAGAGCGCCATGGGCGAATCAGCTTCGAAATCCCTAGCATCCGAATTCCATAGTCTGAATGGTTCGTTCCAATGGCTACCGTTCACCGTTTTCAAGGTCGTGTCTGGCAGTTCCAAATTATAAGCGTGGTGGTGTAGGCCGTACAACTTTTGAGCATCCTCAAATTTCACAGTGAATCCAATATCTCGAATCGTCTGGAAAATAGCAATATACTCAGAAACTAGTTGAACTCATTCAGGGCCATTTCCACAATGTACAGTTCTGCCATATTTGTGTAATAACGCTAACTTCCGGTTATGCGATAGGTAACTGGAGATTGAGAAACCCACCATCGGAAAAAATTAAAAGCTTATTCGCTCACAATGATGCTGTGAAATTATTGGGAGTTAACTAAGCGAAGCCCAGTCTCATAATTTGTCCATTATACCGTATCACATTAAGATCATACTAGGGTCCTATATACCATGGCGGTTATGTAACAATATCATACTAAATAAGCAAATAGGTTGACCTACTGCACCATGAGGTCCATAAGCGGAGCTCAACATCTATAAGGGAAATTGCACACTACGCAAGCCGATTATTATTAACCCAGCTGCTACCCATGAATTGTGTGATAGAAGATCGTTATTTTGGTACACTTTTCTAAAACACTCCAAAGTACATTTAAGCTTTACTATGTTTTATATAGAAGACTGACAAGAGGTAAACTCGCTTGCCCATGTTAGGCAAGTTGTCTTAGTGACAATGACAAGTATAAAAGTGGAAGACTTATACGTTTACGAGAAAATTTACCAAGATGATGAGAGGAAAAACATGTTTGAGAGCTTACACAAATTTTTCGTATTGTATGGGGTTGTCCAAAACGGTAGCAGGAAAGTAAACGCATATTAAAACAAGAAAGATTGATATTCAAATCAAGTTGGGTACTTTATTTTGAAGGTTCATTTTATACCATTTATGTATGAAAAATAATATCGCTCAAATGTTCACCACGACTGGATTTACAGACGTCCACGCGATGGTCGAAATTTTCAATGACATTTTGCAACATGGTCGGTTCTATGGCATTTATCTCGGCAATGATGTTGTTTTTGAGTTCTTGGAGGGTGGCTGGTTTGTTGACGTAGACTTTGCTTTACAAATATCCCCATAAAAAGAAGTCCAAGGGAGTCAAATCGCACGATCTTGGTGGCCATGGCACATTTCCTCTGCGCGAAATCACGCGATCACCGAAGAAGGACTGCAATAGATGGATATTGACGTTGGTTGTGTGGCATGTTGCACCGTCTTGTTGGAAATAAACATCGTCCATATCCATTCCTTCAAGTTGCGGCAAAAATAGTCCTCTATCATCACGTGATATCGCTCAGAATTGACGGTAACGGCGTCCCCGGCCGCATTTTCGAAAAAGTAAGGTCCGATGATGCCTTTTGACCACAATGCACACCACACAGTCACTTTTTGAGGATGCATCGGCTGCTCTTGATACTCACGGGGATTTTCGTTCGTCCAGATGCGGCAGTTTTGCTTGTTTACCGTCCCATTCAAAGTGAAATGCGCTTCGTCGCTGAACATGATTTTTGATGAGAAATTGGCAACAATTTGGCGGTGTTCAAGGAGCCAATCTGAGAACGTTCGGCGCGAAAAATGGTCGGCCCGACGCAGCTCTTGCGTCAATTGGATCTTGTAGGCGTGTACATTCAAATCCTTGTGGAGAATGCGGAGCAAACTGGTTCTCGAAATGCCCAATTCTTGGGATCGACGCGTTGTTGATTGTTTTGCCACAGAACCTGTTGCCTCGAATTTACGCACCAGACGACCGATGGTTGTTTCGTTTAGGCGGTTGTTGCGACCGAAATGTTCACGAAGCGCGCGAAACGTGTTTTTTATTTTTGCACCATTTTTGTAGTGCTCTTGAATAACTTTAATGCGGTCTTCAATCGAATACGACTCCATAGCGATCAATGGTAAACATTCAACTAACAAAATGACATGTCGGTGACAGAAAACAAAGATGGCGTCTATGTCAAATTGACGTTTACTTTCCTGCGTCCCTATTGGACAACCCTTTACCTTCAATTTGCTACAAATAATTGCTCGTGTATCTTTTCCGTAGAGTACACTGTTTTCGTAAAAACAAAAATAAAACAAATCAGATCATTCATGAAGTGCCGGGATAGCATTAGTTTCAAAATAAAATAGGAGGTACCAGCTTGATGTTTTTTGGGAGATAGTTTGTGTACGGGTTCTGTAGTGGAAATGCTTTGGCGGCTTCTCAGGAGTATCAACGTAGATTTCCTAACAGACGCCTACCCCAAAGTTTTATACTATACACGTCCATTTCTAAGACTTTGACAATATGGAATTGCCAAATTTCCAGGAGTTAGAGGCCATGGTGTCCGGCATACTGTTCAAGGGGAACTAGAAGTGATTAATTTGGCGTTGGATGATCTTAGTAAAAGTACTAGGCCCAGTTAGCATGTTCCCAAAGTCTTGCGTGGAGAATTTTAAATTGGGAAGTTTTACATCCTTACCATCGGCAAAATGTGCAATGTCTGTAACCACGGCAACGAAGTGCAGCGGCGAAATTTTTGTGAGTGATTACTGCAAATGCACAATCAAAATGCAGACTTTATTGATTTGGTTTTGTGGTCAGATGACTGGAACCTTTAATTCTCATAATGAACATATTTGGTCGTTAGAAAATCCTCGTTCTGTAAGAATTCATTCGTTTCAGCACAGATTTCCTAGACTTGTCTGGTGCGGCATTTTAAATGGCCAACTGTTCATGCACGCATTGCCACAACGTTTAAATGTAAACTCAAACTTAGCATTTCTAGACGATTACTTATGAAATGTGTTAGATGAAGTTCCGTTAGCAACGAGAGTACGAATGTGATATCAGCACGACGGTGCCCCACCCCATGTCCGTCGTGACGTAACCGCATGGTCAAATAATCACTTTAGACAACGATGATGATGACTTTTTTTTATATTGTAACCCTCAAAATGACTTTCGTCTGAAGCCACACAGTGCTGGAGACGGTTCCTCCACTCATCATGACAATGCTGGAACTGCGATAATGACTCCAGCTGGTCAGTTACAGCTGTTTGAATGTATTCGACTGACACAAAATAAGTTCCCTTGAGGTGATGTTTCAACTTCGGGAAGAGAAAAAAGTCACAAGGACTCAAGATCCTGGATTCCGTCGATATTTTCATCGGTTCTTGATGATGAAGGCCTTCCGCTTCGTGGTTCATCTTCGATCGGCTCTCTCCCTTCTGAAAATGCTTTAAGCCACCGAAAAATCTCGGCGCATGACAAAAGACTCTCCGTTTAGAAACGATTTCCATTGCACTGTGCCTAAGTCTGAAGCAGAACCGTTGCCTGAAATTGATGTTACTGATCTTTAGAAAAAAGTGTTTCACAAAACAATCGCTACGGACAACCAAAGACTGAAGGCGGAACGCATATTGCTATGTCTCCCCTCCAAGCCCGGAGCCGCCAGTGTTGCCGGATCGAACGCTACGTTGCCAGTCTCATCACTTAATTTGCAGATCTCGTATATAGACTCCACACCTGTGCGTGTAACTTGTAACGTGTCGTTCGGTGCTAGATAAGGAAAACGTGATATTTTCATGTGTGCTGGGTTATGTGATATTTGTGGTACGAGTTATGCTAAATTAAACCGTCGATTAACGTATTCTGCCTGAAATAGCCAACCGTGTACTGTATTTCGGCGTCCAAGAAATTATCTGAGATAAAAACAGATAGCGTAGCGTCATCTATGAGAATTTATCACAGCTCCGTTTTTCCTCACCCTAATAACTAAAAATCTACGTTGAAAAAGGTTGAAAAGGTTAGTGTCTCATAGATGGTGCTATAATAGCATACAGTTGGAAATCTTCAGGTAAAATCGTTAATCATTGCTTAAACGTAATTTGCTTACCTTATCGTAACTCATATTCAGACTTGAGCTATTCAAAACTACCAAAGTTTTATCGTTATACGTGAAGTTTAACACCAATGGTGATTTGTGGATAAGAACACTGTGGTTTCGCATTGTTGCATCGTTAGGCACTATAGTAAGGAATCCATCATCATCCTCTGTTGTAATCCTATGACATATGCATAACAAATGTTATTGTAAACGATTATTTTTCGTATCATCAAAATAAGCTGCTAGAATATAATTGATACAATATATACGTACAATGTAGTTGAAGAAGCGCCACCTCCCACTTATTTTTTGAATAGGATTAAGTTAGCAAGTTGAAATTCTGGGTGATACAATTGATTAATGAACACAATACATTTTAACGTACAAGAGGCAGATGATAATTTCAAGATGGTGGCACAAACTGCTTATTAGTATCACAGCTTAGATAACAATCAGCTATGAAATTCTCCTGTCAGTGTCAAAATCGGCTGCTATTTCAGCGGAAAAGGTCGAATGTAAATCCCCCCAGTTCATCGATGAAAGAGGTTCTAGTGCTCAGCAGCAGTCGGTGTTGCCTCGTATCAAGCCAGCGGCCGCAGATATTCTTTGCAATCTTAAAATGAATATATTTCGATATAATATAGTGTACCGGCTGCTGCTGAGTACTAAAAACTCGTTTATTGTTGTACTGGGGGAATTTACATTCGGCTTTCTCCGCCGAAGTGGCCGCTGTTTTTGACACTGACAGGAGAGTTTCATAGCTCATTGTTATTTAAGCTGTGTTAGTACTTCAGAATCCTAAGGTATAAATATCCCTTCTTTCAAAATAACAGTCTGTAAAAGATGAGCGATTTTGTATATTGAACTGCTTATAACTCAACAATTGATAATCAAAATACTACCGCATATCAGTCCGCCGTCTCAAAAGGTAACGATTTTATATTCCAGTGTATTCATAAGGAGCTTAAAAATGAGTTATCACATAACCCTCCATTCTATTTAAATAACGGTCCACGGTGGCGCCCAATCGTTGTCTTGGAATTCTCAACTGGCACTTGTATAAATATATCATTAAACCGGAATTTTAAATTTCTAACTTCACGAAAGTAGGAGTCCACATCTTTATCCGTGAAAAATTAGTGCAAAGATATTGTCGGTAATATTTTCGTTTTACGTTATTGTATTGTTTCCCATTGCCACCCATCCCCTCGCTATTGAGATAAAATAAAAGAGAAAAAATACAGTTCTCATAAATGGAATGACTGCTGTTTGGGTCAATGTAGAGGGATTTTATATACGTTATGTGTCTCGGCGTCCTGAAGACGTGCCTTAATGGGCACTGAGCGCATAACTCAAAGGGTCCCAAGGCATCGGCCGTCGAAGTATAATGAGGTATCGGATCTACTCAAATATCTGCTTTAATTGGAGTGGTTTTATCTACAATTCTGATAGATTTTGTAAATGTTATACGTCTCGGCATTCTAAACAAATGTTCCAATGGGCACAGGCCCAAAACTCAACGGATCCCAAGACATAGGTCATGTAGGTATTATGTGGTATCGATTCTGTTCGATTATTTTTTTTACACCGAAGCAGCCGCGCAGGCAGAAACCTAAATGTACTCGGTGCACTACAGAGGCTGCTATGAGGTTCCCAAACAAACTTTGTTAATTCGATTTTTGACCTACCCAACGTTAGTGGAACCGGGAAAAGCCAGCCCTTGTAAATTGTTCCACAATTTTGGCACCCTAGGGTCAAAGCAGCGGTCGTATCGGCCAGTTCTGGATGTACGAAGTTCGACAGGGTTGAGATGGGAGGCCGAAGTCAGGCGGGTCTGTCTGGCAATCACATCATGCAGGAGAGCTCCTAGTAGTAAAGCCCGTTGGTGTAGCGGTAGAAGAGAGAAGAGAACTAGATAGCCAACAGCCCGCTGGTGCGAAAGGTCCCGAGACTGTCTGTTAGAGAAGAGCCATCGATCGGTCGGAAAGCCCTCCTCTGGACAGCATCAACTATAAATAATGCAATACTCGAGGCTAGGTCTTATCTGGGCCTTGTATAGAGTGAGGACGTCATGTGGAAAAAAATTACTTCTTAGCACTAAACAAATATCCTAGCATTTCCCCAGCAGCTGCCGCTATTCACGAGATATGCCGATCAAGTCTTCAGTGATCTGGACTCCAATAGGCCGAAATGAACGGCTCTTTGGCAGCACTCGGCCAACCATCGAAACAGGATGAGCACTAGGACGGCTTTAGTGCGTCAGGGTACAGTACAGCAAAGATGTGGACTGGATTGATCCTACAGGAAAGGAGGTCGTTAATACGTAACAGGAACGGTGTCGGAGCCAAGACCGATCCCTGTAGCTAATCAAGCCGTAACTTTCGAGGTAGTCCAGAAGCTTGCGATTCATGTACCTCTCCATCACGTTACTTAAAGCAGAACTATGGGCATGTAGTTGTAAGGGTCGGTCTTAGAACTTTTCTCTGGGATGGGTTGGACATGGTGGAGTGGACATCAAGGATCTTGGCAAGCACTTCCGCCTTAGCCTTTGGGTGGCTAGCAATTGTTCCATCCTGACACGTAAGTGGTGGAAGGCTAGTCTGTGACAGTTCCTTTTAGTCTGCTTGGCCAGCGTCCAGAAAGACCGACTGCCATTGCGCTGCGACATTACCATGTGTCTAACTTTTATATCTTGATGGTCTTTGGCACTGCGGACCACTTCGTTATATATTATTTGTTTCTGGACTCGACGTCGACCTGTCTGTTCTGTACAGTGGGGCTTTGTAAGTTATGTGTGCCTAGATGTTCTGCTGACGAGCAGTGTCGCATGATTTGTTGAACCAGCCTTTCGACCCTGGTTTAGGCACTTTCACTGTATGAGGGATGTATTCATCCATTCCAACGTTAATTATTTCGCTTATCGATGAACACACAGCCGACGCATCCGCGTCAGCCAAACACAGTCTCTGAGCGCTCCCTGTCGACATGTCCGTATTGCAAAATTTTGCGGACTGGGTGAGTTTCTGCTGCTACAGCGGGTTCTGACCAAAACCTAACCTCCACAACATCGTGGTCTGAGTTACTCAGTGAAAACAGGACAGCAGTGCTGTAAGGACAGGATGCGTGGTCAGGAAGAGATCCAGCAGGCTACTGATGGCGTTTGACGGGGGAAAAATTAGAGCTCGTCCAGCTGGTTAATAGCGTACGCTTCAACTGCACGACCTACTGCATTGGTTGCTTGAGCCCAACCATAGCTCATTATGGGCTAGCAGCTAGAACTACCTCTGAAGCGGGACGATTCATGTTCAGGAAGTCGACCTTGTTCGAGGGAGAGTGGTAAAGGCAGCAAATAAATTTGAGTGATGTTTTGGAGTTGACGCAAAGCCACAGAATGTCATTCCGGTCTGATTCCAAAGAAACGTGTCTGGAGCAGATAATATTGCTGCGAACAAAAGCGAAAACTACCCTGTTATTTCTCAGATTGGAGTTCACCTCGTAATTTGGGAAGCTAATACGATAAATCGGTGCAAAATCTGAGATTGTTGTCTCCGCCAAGAAAGGCATGGCGAGACGATTAGATTGCAGGTAGGGATGAACAGCATCAACGTTGCTGTTACTCCCGCAGATGTTCGTGAAACAAATTTTATCATCGATGTTGTTCCCTTGAGATCACCCTCCACCCGGACATTCCGAGATTGGAGTGAGCTTACTTCCATAATTATTGGTACTCAAGGGATCTATCATCCTCAATTTCTTTGTTGGAGAAGAACCGGCTCCGTAGCGTGGAAACATTCTTAAGACATCCTGGAAAAAGCTAGGGGGTGGTACCGCCTCGGTCGACTGGTCCTTGTCTACCACATTTTTGATACGTGCTGATGATGTTAAGTAAACTTAAAGTGGCCCGTTGGCGAACTTGTACCGTCATCCGGCAATCGGTACTGAGATATTCCCCAACGCGTGCACAGTCACGTGAACTGGAAGAAGTTGCATACTGAATACAAAAACTTCCGGATTAAGCATTTGCCACGGCCATTTTGCTCCATAGGGCTGCTTTAAGTGCGTCTTGGCGTCCCAAATGAATATCTCAGTGGGCGTAGGCCCCCAAACTCAGCAGTTTCTAAGATGTAGGGCGTCCAAGTCAGTATAATGGGACGTCGATTTTACTTCGCTAACTACTACATCTAAAAGATTATGACTAAATTTGTGAAATCTCATGTACTCGGCATCCTGAGTAAATGACACAAACCCCAAAACTCAACGGGTATCAAGGTATACACCGTCTAAATATAATGAGGTATTGGTTCTACTCGAATATTAGCTATAATTGGAAGAGTGGTTTTAGTTATTTTCGCTCATTTTTTTATATTTTATGTGTCTCTACGTCCTGGATAAATGTCTCAAGGCACACAAACCTGAAAACTCAAAGGTCTTCCACTTCAAAATGATATATTCTTAATGAGATACCCAATCTTACTGTAAGAAGTGGCGTGTCAGTTTTTTGCTCTTCAAAACATCCCAACTTAGAAGATATTATTTCTGCTACCATTTTGAATAGTTAGCAACTGCAACATGTCAATGATAGATTTGTTAAGCCATTCATTTTATCCGGAAATTTCTGTAGAGATAGAAACTGCTTAATGTCTACCGCCCACAACTTGCATCGTAGAAAGGTCATTTTCTGCTCTTCGGAGGGTGGAAACCTGGATTCGATCTACCATTAGCAAAGACCGCTTGGATGGACAATGCATGATTAGTGTTCATCGAGATAGATAGAAAACAACCAAAATTCATTCATAAAAAAGTAATCGATGAATTTGGATGAAAGCCCAGGATCCTTCAGGTTTTATTTTCTTCTGACGAAAAGAAGTAGCTTTAAATCCAGTGACCGATATTTTATATTATTACCTATTTTCCTTCACCTCGGAATTTGATGATATTTTACTAGCCTTTGGGGTATTTTTTTGTTAAATTGACTCATCCTTTGAATTATTGTAAAAATAAAAAGTACTACTTTGCATTTGTGTGAGCATTAATAAATATATGCATGAATTGCTGCAAGCGAAAAGTGGTTATTATGAAAACTAGCTTTCTCTACATAGTGGATGCCATGTTGGCTTGTAGTCGTCTTTTTATGTGCCAAAAAACGTCAGTAGCGGGTCGTTTTTCTTACAGACAATT